CATTCAAAAGTCATAGTATAGTATGTCTTAAAAGTAATAAAAAGTCATAGTATAGTATGTCTATAAAAGTCATTCAAAAGTCATAGTATAGTATGTCTATGAAAGTCATTCAAAAGTCATAGTATAGTATGTCTTAAAAGTAATAAAAAGTCATAGTGTACTGTAGTAGGGCAAAAAAGTAATAAAGTCATAGTATGTTACATCATTAAAAATGTCCTAAAAAGTTATAGTATAGTTTGTTAAAAAATCATAAAAAAGCGTTACCATAGCATGTGAAAAAACTGATAAAAATTATAATGTGAAATGTTTTTCATATAGTTTTATAGTATGTCAAAAAAAGGGAAAAGAATGATTGTATAGCATGATAAAAAGTCATAAAAAATATTTATGTGAAAAAGTCACAAGTCTCAGTATAGTATGTCAAACAAGTCATGGTATAGTATGCCATATTTTCACATTTCCTCTGTTATTTTACCGGATTGTGTTTGATGCTGGTATTGAGTGATTTATATTGTCTGTATCAATTAACTCAGCGCAAATGCTCAAGTAAATGTTTAACAATAGGTAGACGCTATTATAGGCTAGTACAAGCTTCTTGGGACTGAGACAATCAAGGATTTGAAAGAATTGTTTTACCTTTGCAATGACTTTTTTTGAACCCACTTGTATTGTTTTGATATTTTTGGACTTATTTGTTCTATAAAATAGTTTGGAAACATTTGAAAATAAATTGTGTGTTTTTGTCATGTTGTTTATCAATATGCTTCTACATCTTTGATCTTTGACAGTAAGATGGCTTTTTTTCAATGGCAATACCGGAATCTAAATTTGTTCAGTCCAACAAGAATAGAATAGAATAGAATAGAAATATACTTTATTCATCCCCAAGGGGAAATTTGTCAACAAATGAATATGAATAATGATAACCCAATAATACAACTCTAAATAAACAAGACAAAAAAATAATTGTTTCTTTGTTTGTGAAAGAGGAATATACCAAAGATTCTTATTTAGGATTTGAGAAAAATCCCTATTGCATCTATCCCTCTATGTGCATGTAGGAACTGACACTCCACACAATAACCAAAGTGAAAAGAGTGTCCTGTAAAAGCACATATTTTACTTATATGGTATAGTGCAGTATCGCAAGAACTTGAACTGTACCATCATCCATACGACAGTTTTGTCTTAAAGACAGCCAATATGACTTGTCTTTTGGCATATTTTACAGATCAAACTAAGTACTATAGATAAATTATGCCAGCCTGCAATTATTCTTGTACCATAAATTTGCCTGCAGAATGATCTTAATTTCTTTTGATGAAAGTGAATGAGCAGGCCAATACTGTTGACAGTAATCAGGGGCTGAAAGAATTAATCTAACACTGAATCCTCATCTGTATTTATAGAACGCATGCCTTTGTCCTCAGGGATTAGGATGCTCAGAGAAGGCACAGCATGTTGATTGGTTGTGTGTGTGGGTGTGTGTGTGTGTCGGTGTGTTCCTGTCATCTTTAATTGAGTACACTGCAGGGGAGGGACAGCAGGACGATATCAGACTGGATCTTCACTACTCTTTCAGTAACGTACTGGGAACATAACTTCATGTTCAGCTGTTTGTGGTGGTGTCTAACATACTACGGTCTCTGTTTGGGCCATTGTTGCGTTGAGAACAACAGTTGTGTCCAGATAGGGCAATTTCATACTATCATCAGTGGTTTTCAAAATTTAAGACCATTGCACACCCTCTCAATCTTTTGTCGTGACCCTAATATATTGTAAATCTTTAATGAGGATTTAAAAAGAGCGATCCAAACACTATGCAGACTACAGTAGACTTTATTAAGATAAACCCTTACCATTGCATGCAACTCACAGCCAAGCCAACGAGAAAAACACCTTGATCAGCAACAGCATCATGCTTTGACACAATCTTATGAATTAACAAGGTTTGGTGACGTCAAACCACAGATTTACATATTTCCTGATGGAAAAATAGTAGTGAAATATAGATTGTGGATGTGGACAACAAGCAGGAGACTAGTCTTGTGTTAACTACATTTGTTAATCATGTGAATCAGTCTTAAATCTTGAGGCTTAAAGTTAAACATACTGTAGATGATTGCATTCTCGGCAATAAGTCAGACACGTTCCCGGTGGGCGTTGGCCTCCGCCAGGGCTGCCCTTTGTCTCCGGTCCTGTTCGTGATTTTCATGGACAGGATATCTAGGCGCAGCCTGGGGCCGGAGAACGTCAGTCTCGGGATCGCCTCTCTGCTGTTTGCAGATGATATGGTCCTGTTAGCCTCCTCGGATCGTGACCTCCAGCATTCACTGGGGCGGTTTGCAGCCGAGTGTGAAGCGGCGGGGATGAGAGTTAGCACCTCCAAATCTGAGGCCATGGTTCTCTGCCGGAAACCGGTGGATTGCTCCCTCCAGGTGGGGACGGAGTGCCTACCTCAAGCGAAGGAGTTCAAGTATCTCGGGGTCTTGTTCACCGTCTTGGTGAAGAGGGAGCTGAGCCGGAAGGCAAAGCTCTCAATTTACCACTCGGTCTACGTTCCTACCCTCACCTATGGTCACGAACTCTGGGTCGTGACCGAAAGGACAAGGTCGCGGCTACAAGCGGCCGAAATGAGCTTCCTCCGTAGGGTGGCCGGGCTCAGCCTTAGAGATAGGGTAAGGAGCTCGGTCATCAGGAGGGAGCTTGGAGTCGAGCCGCTACTCCTTCGCGTCGAAAGGAGTCAGCTGAGGTGGTTCGGGCATCTAATTAGGATGCCTCCTGGACGCCTCCCACTGGAGGTTTTCCAGGCACGTCCAACTGGGAAGAGACCCCGGGGAAGACCCAGGACACGCTGGAGAGATTACATCTCCCAGCTGGCCTGGGAACGCCTCGGGATCCCCCAGAATGAGCTGGAACATGTTGCCGGTGAGAGGGAGGTCTGGGTAACCCCAGATACCCCGGATAAGCGGTGGAAAATGGATGGATGGATAGAAAATGGATGGATGGATAGATGATGAGAGACTGATGTAGGGGGTGTGAAGGTCCGAGATTCCTTGTACTGCTGTAATGGAATGATCTTATAGCAACCACATATATGTTAGTGTGCAGTCAAAGAATATCAAATATATGAACCACTTACACAACTTAGATTTCAAACTCTATTCTTTTTAACTCTATTCAATAATTTATTTCTGTCTGAACACAGAAACATAACTATAGGGTGATTATGTTAAGACTGTGAAAGAACGATTGTCTTGTACAGTTTTGGGAAACTTCAGTGCATAAAACACTAAATGAATGTATAGGAATTCTTTATCCAAAAACATGATAGGTCCTTGCCTGCCATTATATATGAAAAAACAACAAATTTAGCTAATGAAGTCATATATTAATAATAAATAAATGTATTTATTTATAATCCTTTATTTAAGCATATCAAGAAACATAGACATATAAAAGCTGTTTCTGTATGACCACCCAGAGACTATTACAGACACCCATTGACTCATACATTAATTTACACACACGCACACAAACACAAAGTGCAACAAATTCACCACAAACCAACCCATGTTTTTTTTCGCAGAAGACACAGAAAAGACAGAAAAGACAGAAAGACAGAAAAGACAGCTCCACAGCGGGGTGATTGCATTACAATGAGGACAATAACATAATCATTAAAAAGTGAGGGATAAGAGCAAAGTCAATGGAGGGAGAAGTTGCAGATAGAAAATGTAATATCTGGAACCTGCATTCTTTCATTTCATACACATTTGTGTTTTTATTGATACGTTTTGTAACAGATTATTTTCACATGCCCCTTTCCAGCCTTTTGGTCAATGATTATCTTGCAAAAGCTCACAGGACAGCTGCGTGATGTGCCGCCATGCATGTTGGATGTGACATGAGTCAGTGCTGCGCGAGCAGATGGCAAGGCGGATGACAAAGAGGCCAGAGAGCTGGCAAGGCACCAGGTGGATCTCTCTGCTGCTGGTGATCCTTTTTAGCAAGAGCTGGTTCAACTCATTGGAGCCCTGAGAGGAGACAAGGAGGAAAAAGAACTCACATTGTTTACGATAGCCAGGATTTGTATCTTTCCTAGACACTTGGGTTACTAGGTTACACTATTGGTCATGTTGCATTTTATAGTGTTTCCTAACTGGAAGTTCTATATATAGAATTTTCTATCATCTCATATATCACAGTGCATGCAAAAATATATGTAAACCTCTCATCGCTTTATAACTCACCTGTAATTGAGTTTCATGTGTGTAAGAAAGACTGAGCCAGTAGAATAGATAAATAATGTGTTTGTCATTTTATGACACACCATATTCAACATTATTAAAATCAACTATAGACCTTAGCTTTCCTCTGCCAATGTAAACTATAATTCAACCAAAAACATCACATCACAGTTATTTAATGTTGGATGTTGTTACCTTGAGCCTGAAGCAAACCAGTCCCATGACAACCTCGGCACAGATGTCGAACCTCTTGTCTGCTCGCACAAGACTCTCAAATTCTTTGGCCAGGAGCACGTGCTGCAAAGACAAGACAGAGATAATGTACTCTGACTCATGAGCTGTTTGTAAAATGTACTGTGTTTCTAGATGAAAGTAACATCGCAATTGCTCTTAATGTCCACGTTTTAATTAAGTCTGCAGAGATCTGACAATGTCTAATGTTCATTCAAGTTAAAGAAACTGCTTTGTAAATTTAACATGCAAGTGAAAGGGCGAGGGGTTATTAATTCAATTATTGGTGTAATAGGTTGTATACAGCATAACAGAGCATGTGCTGTAACTGGTGCCTGGCCTTCTGCAAGAAAACAATTAGCAAGTAATTCTACTAAAGGCTAAAATTTCTGTGATTCTCACTAGGTGGCAGTGCTGTATCATTACACGGCACAGTGCCATAAACCATAGAGATCAGATGACTTTTTCAACTGATTCAGTCTGTAACTGTCTGGAGTGTATCCCCTGACTATAAACTAAATGTAACCATCTGTAACTGTTGATAACAGAACACATTTGATTAATAGAGCAAGTTGAGGTATAGTACACATCCTGGTAGAAAGCACTGCCTATAATGCTCAGTTCAAAATCAGGACTAGGCAACCTTGAAATAGTCTGTATCAAAATCTGTTCCCTGGAAATGTAATCAATGTGCGATCAAACAAACTCCTACGAACACATTTATCCACTTATGGTCAAATAGCCCACCTGGACATTGAATGCATAGTGAAATACTAAACGTGCATCACGATCTGATCACAATTATATGGACCAACTTCAACTCCACGTTTCCTGCCTCTCTAATGAGATCGAACACTGGCGTAAAAGACCATCTGGTTGACCACCAACTTGTTTCCTAATTCCCAGCCAGTAATTCATCATCACTCAGAGGTGTTTACAAGCCAATATACCATAATGACCTCATTGTCTGTTTGGATAATTACCGTATTCTAGGTATTTAACATTTAAAGCCTTTATCATTAAAATGCTACATTTAACAACATCATTTTCCCATGGGAGGATAATTCATTAGAGTTCATAAAGGAAAAAAAGAACAACTTAAATTGGTTTTCCTGGAAAAGACTAAACTCACAATCGGTACATCAGACATGCTGTATTTCCATTTGAACATTACATTGCAGTCATTTAGCAGAGGCTTTTATCCAAAGCGACTTACAATTCAGTATCTATCTATACACAGTAAGCACAGCTACGGGAACAATTTCAGGGTTAAGTTTTTGCTCAAGGACACATTGACATGTGACTAGTGGAGCCGGAGCCGGGGATCAAACAGCCGATCCTCTGATTGAAGGACGGCCCTGCTCTCCACTTAGCCACGGTCAACCAACATATTGTCTCACTCTACAAGATAAAAAGGACCAAAAACACAGCTCAAACTGTTCTATCTCTAGAGGACGGATGTACAGTACAGTAGTGTGTCACGGGTCATGGCTGCAGGGATCACTGCTGCTTCTGCCGCTTCATTGAAAATGGAGAGTAAACACAAAACAGGCTTATTTGATTGACAGAGCATGAGGGGGAGAGACAGACACATGCAGGGTTGAAGCATGGGTGGGGAGGATGGGCATTGGAGGAGAAATGTAGGAAAATGTTGCTATAAAAAGAAGATGCAGGCCAGACACACATGACTGACAGGATATGCTGATGGAGGCAGAGATGGGGGCAGTGGACTGACTTTAGTGCTAAGAAGGATTAGGTGGGGGGTGGAAGGGAGAACGGAGATGGCATTTAACATAAAGACCAGGCATATGTGATAGTCAGAAGTGTTTTCTATTTTTTTGGGAGTGATTGAGAAGGAATGAGACCCTAAGAGGTAGAAGGGTAAAAGCCAGACTGCGTACCACTGTCAGCACTCGTACATTTTATGAATCAACACTACCTATAAGCTGAATTTACTGAAATTTATTAGAGAGACACTACTCAAATGTTAACCAGAAATTCAAAGGGCTAGTGTGTAACATTTTAGGGATCTATTAAAATAAATGGAATATAATATTCATAAGTATGTTTTCATTCGTGTACTGTATAATCACCGGAAAGAATCTTTTTTTCTATTAGCCTAGAATGAGCCCTTCATATCTACATAGGGAGCGGGTCCTCTTCGCTTGCCACTGCCTGACTTCCATTACTTTTAAATTAGTGTTATTATTACTAGGATGGCTTCAGAGCAAGGCAAACGGCGTTACCATGCTTTTGCACTCAGCAGCTCATGTTACCACAGTCTTTGGGAGGGGAGTGATGAGCAGAGGGGTATATATCAGTTGGTTGCAATCGGCAACCACACCGCTAGACGCCACCAAATCATACACACTGTCCCATTAAGGGCACAGATATCATTCAGTTGGTCTCTTACCTTTCGTATATGAGCCTGCAGGCCATGAAGCCCATACATACGGAAGACAAACCACATCTTTAGTGAGCGAAATCTTCTTCCAAGTGGAATCTGCCAATGCTTCAGGACAGAGGAAGAGAGTAGGAGAGTGGGTATAGCTTTAACCTCTGCGAATTTGATGTGATGGGATTATTTATATTGTAGAAACATAATTAACATTGATTCATCTTACCCTATAATCTGTGACCAGCCCTGTTGAAGGAAGAAACAGTTCAGGAATCAGTAAAAAAAAGGTCACATCACAAAGTAATAGTGAACATTGTGAATGCTGCATTTTCAATCTATTCCAGGGTCGGTCTGCATTCTCATCATTAGATTATCATATGAAAAAAGAACAATTTCCCTTTTTCTCCTGAAACAACAAAAGAGGAAACAACAACTTGCACCGATGAAGCTGAATCAACAAAGCTCTGAAATTGAACACTATCAGCTTCATAACATTATCTATTGTAAAGCTATTTTGTTTTTGGGATTGCCTTTTACTGTCCAGGTGTTGCTGTCATTACGCCCACCCCCTATACAGTATCTCACTGATCACAGCACTGTCAGTCCACACAGACCACTAGCTACAGATATTTCATCTGTACAGAATGGGGCCTGTGTTAGCTGCTGCTAATACCCACTAATTAGATTGAATAGTCCAGATTGTGTGAGCAAAAGGCTTTTGTAAGGTGCCTCAGAGTGGTGGGAGGTAGCTGTTTGTCTTTCTCTCTGTCTGCTTGTCTGTCAGACAAATTATAGTGCAGCTCTGAGCCCAGCTGCAGGCTAGGAGCCTATACACCAGCACACACAATTGTAGCAGATGTGGATACATATAGACACAGAATCAAATTATTTTTATTTTTTTTAAAGTCAAGTGTGATTCATCCTCATTTTGATGATTGATCTTGATGATGATTTTCATGATGTTAATGATGTGTCAGTTTATAATCTGTCTTAGCTGCCCAATCCTTTTTGTGTATGTGCAAGAACGTCCACTAAGTCTGCCTTGGAGGTAGACCCGTATATGGGAATATGTAAAATAAGAATAATGCTTGTTATTGTTGTTATTATTATTATCAAAACTATGTATGATAGATAAGTCTGAAATATACTCTTCAACTTTTGTCAGTAAAAATCTGGAGGCTTTATCAGGGCTGGAGAGGCTAGCGGTGAGGGGAGAGCCAGGGCTCAAAGAGCATGTTGAAGACTGCAAATCTAGAGGCGGGGGGACACTGGAGGACAGAGGATACCCCCTGCATACGTCCCACCCACCCACTGGTTCCCCAACACACAACCTCTATCCCAGCGGTTCCCAAACTTTTTAGGCCACGCACCCCCTTCTACATCCCGACCGGGTTCACGCACCCCCAATCCCCCACACCTTAAAAAAAAAAAAAAGCAACAGAGCCTATTTATAGCCGCATAGAAATCGGACCAATGAGAGAACAGTTTGCTTTGTTTACCACACTTTGGGAATCCCTGCTCTATCCCAATGCCCCTAAAGAGCCTCCAGCACCCCACTGTGCTCTGCTCCTCATCCAGAGAACCAGAGGGAGATCAGTGGGGTTCGCTCCGTTCTTGTGGAGCGTCTCTTGAAAGAACTCCAGCGAGCTCACAGCGCAGTCTGTGAGATTGACTGGCCGGCTGGCTAGCTATCGACCCCCGCAGAAGTTAGCTTCCCAAAAACGTTGGGGCAACCATTGTTCGGACCAGGTAGTCTTCCTTGGGAATACGGGGGTCGCTACTTCTAGTTTGAAGCACCGGTCAGCATCATAGCTAGGCTAACGTTAGCGTTCAGCAGCCAATCAGAAGCAGAGTAGGGGTGGGTACTATACGCACCCTAAGATGCACAGAATGGATCAGCAGGGACAGATCGGATGGTGACAGGGTCACAAATACAGTAAATTAGCTTAACTACAGGTAGAAAATGATTACAGAACTTGCTCACAGAAGCCAACATTGAATAGTTAACACACACACACACACACACACACACACACACACACTTTTTTCACTAACCCCAAACCTTGTTGACAGAATGCATTCCCTAAAACTAAGTCTAACACAAAGAAATCCTCCCTCTCAAGCTCTAAAACTCACATAGGTCCTCACAAACAGAAGTAGGCCTACAAGAGCACTCTCACACACGCCTGTCGAGTTGTCACACATTCATCTTCATGCCTGTGTTCATCTGGTTTAAGCTACACGACACTGTATTTTAAGACCATGGTGCCCTGCTTCAGTAGTTATTGTTGAATCGGATGTGTGTGAATTTTGGCTCAAATGGGCACACTAACCACCTTCCTCACAATATGAACAGTAAACAAGGTCACAACCGTTCATTTTTGTCAATATGTTATGCAGTAGACCCCGGATTCTTCCAACCTGATCTGTGATCATGGATTCAAATACTTTAAGTGAAATGACTACCTGACTCCTGGTTGTCATGTTTCAGGTAGAGTGGTTCCATCTTGAAGGCTCCAATGATGTCCTCTCTCTTCTTCACCCTGTTGATTAGATTAGATTCAACTGTATTCCGAGTACAAATACTGAGACAACGAAATGCTGTGATAGTTGATAGGTGCTGACAAAAATCTTTACACCATATATTACTTAACCATTCAAAAATACAAATACAATATTTAAGACTTTAACTTTAACTCTTAACTCTTTAACGGACCCTGGTCGTCAGTTAGATTTGCATGTTACGGTTTATTTGTGTCCTGTAATAAACTGGCACCTGTGGTTTTGAATCTAACTTGATGTTGTGTCCCTCCTTGTGTTGCGACTTCC